CCAGAGAGAGGTTGCTGAGGAAAAAGTACATGGGAGTGTGGAGACGAGAGTCCAGCAGGATCAACAGGACCATCCCTAGGTTGCCAACCAGACTGATGAAGTAGATGTGGAAAAAAGTTAGAAAGAGAAGAATCTGCAGTGTGGGGTTATTGGTTAATCCCACAAAAATGAACTCAGTTACCTCTGAATTGTTCTCCATTGGAAACATTGGGGAATCTTGTGGGTGTCCTGTAGAAATGAGAAATAGGATCCGAATGACAGACGATAAAACACTGATGTTGTCAATGAGATGTCTGCCTCTAAGGTTAACATTTCCTTGATTGCTTCAAGGATTCTTTAGATATAACATATTGCCCTTAAAAAACTTCGACTTTTAATAATTTCTGGAATGATATTGTGCTCCAATTATGGAATTTCTGAACATAAAATATAGAGAAAGAAAATGTGTTATTCAAGGTCACAAGATTAGCTACCAATGAGAATGGGACAGGATCCCCATTCAGATTTTCTAACATTGACACAAAATATTGTTATTCATTAAAATAGATTAGCTCAATTGAGCTGGTGTGAAATTCAATTTCTTTTACTTCAACTCACAATTTTCTGTCACTTGCATTTTGTCAAGAACAATTTTATATGAGAATGAAAGGCAATCAAATAAATGATTTTTGCTTTTATTTTTTTTCCTTTTTAATCTTTTTATTGGAGGCTCTTACTGCTCTTATAACAATCCATATATCAAGCGTATCAAGCACATTTGTACATATGTTGGCATCATCATTTTCAAAATATTTTCTTTCTACTTGAGTCCTCCTCTTTTTCCCTCACCCGCCCACCCTTCCAACTTCAATAAGAGATACTTTTATCCTAAATGATATCGCTGTGTAGTAAGTACCCAGGATGTGGGAAACCAAATCCCAAACCAAACCCACTTCCATAGAGGTGACTCTCACTTCTAGGAACCCTCGTTAGGAGTTACAAAGCTATATATCACACAGAAGCAGATATTGTCATCTCTCTCCCACAGGCAAGAAATCCTGGTGGTCTAGTAGTTATTCATTGGTCGGCTACACATAAGGTCATCCATTTGAAACCACTAGAAAACATGAGGGAGAAAGACTACACTTTTTACTCCTGTACACAGTAGGTGGGGGAAGGGAGCGGTGAGCAAAGAACACCATAGACAGAACAACCAGGAGGAAGCAGAGATCTTCGGGTGCTGGATCAACAACAATCTTGCTGAGAGGAATTACTAAGAGGCAGAAGAAGGGCAAGCGAGTTGGTGGAGCAGGAAGAAGGTAAACTGAAACAGAGGAAAGATCTAGGAAGCAAAGCTATGAATAGAGGTGTGTACATATGTAACTATATCAGTTCATAAAAAGAGGTATGGCTTATGTACATATATTTATATGGCAATACGCGGAGTTAGTAGATGGACTTTGAGCCTCTGCTCCATGTGAGGATACTTTGTTCTAACAAATGGCATTGTATGATGCTTACCCTCCTGGCACGATTGCTGAAGACCAAGTGGGTGCATAAGCAAATGTGGTAAAGAAAGCAGATGGTGCTTGGCTAGCAAAAGATATAGCATCTGGGGTCTTAAAGGCTTGAAGTTAAACAAGTGGCCATCTAGCAGAGAAGCAACAAA